GGATAAATGAACTGTGTGGAGGCCTTACACTGTAGCAGAGTGAGACTGGGAAATCATTGCTGGAGAAGCGAAAAATATGGGATAGTGTTCAGTTACATAGTGCGCTTCTCAGCTTAGGGAGGAGAGGAGCCTTCTGCTCATCCTGGGAGGATACCCAGGGGTTAGGAAGCCTGTTGGTGTGGGGTTTTCCTCACCATTTTGAAATCCTCAGCCTCAGGTCATAGGCTTGCCTCTGTTCTGGGAGAGCTGCTCAGCATGTCTCTGGGCTGCTAGTGGGAATTTCTCTATCGATGCTGGGGTACTAATGAGTTTCCAGAGTCCTCCAGGGCTGCCACCAACCGGGGGCAGGGATGATGCTGGCAATAATGGCAGATAGTTTGTCTCCCATTGTGTCCTGGGTGAAATCTGGGCTGGGAGGTGGGGTATGCTACCAGGATATGCCTTGTGCCAGGCGCCTGTATGCTGGGAGAGGAAGTGCGCAGAGGGCACAGAGTCTCCTTGCTGCCCAAGGACTGTTCCTGGGAGGTTCTGCAGGTGCTGGGGCTTCCACTTCACCTCTGCTTGTAGGCAATGAGGATTAAATCACCGCTGGTAAAATGAGTAGATGACACATGAGTGGCCAGTAAGCAAGGTGGGCTTTTGCGGACAGGCTGGGTCGTTACAGAGCTGGGAACAGCTGGCGACCCAAGGCAAATGCAACTCCACACTGGCTGGGGCTGCTCAGCACCCCTGGGCCTCTTGCTGCCACCTGGCACAGGGAGAGGTGATGGAGGCTGAGCACAGATTTGGAGCAGGTGGGTGAAAAGTCTCAGGGGTGCCTTGGGAAGAGCCAAAATCCCTGGAGAGCCAGGGCTGGGTGAGGAACATGGAAACTGGCACCTGCTAGATTTAGAACTCACTCCAGGGAAAAAAAAATAAAAATTGCAGGGTCCATATTTAGCCAGTTGCGGCTCCCACCAAGCACTGCTCCATTGAGCTGCTGCTGACAAGGCCCTTTCAGCCCTGGTGCCCTGAATTGGGCACCTCCCATTTGAGTTCCTGAAGGTGGAGGTCCTGTGCCTAGCCAAGAATTGGGGAACCCCAGTGCATCCCAGGACCAGTCAAGTATTTCATCACCATCTTTATTTGAGGCAAGCCTGTAGGAGTCCAGGTGTACATGGCGACACGTGCTATGCTACATTGCATTTCCCTGCAGGCAACCATGGCAACACACACAGCAGGATTGGACTGGTGCTGGGCTGGGACTCCTGTGGGAATGGGGCTCCCCAGCTCTCGGAGGTTTCCCCAGCATGGCACTGAATTGTTAGGACACTTGCGCACTGGAAGCAGTGCCTAAGGGAATGTCTGGAGTCTCCTGCTCCATCCCACAGCCTCTGGGGGATGAATGGGGTTGAGTTGGGAGATACCGAGGGGGATGGGGGGTTTTAGAGCCTTGCATGCCCCTCAGCTGCATTTGTGTATCCTTCCCCAGAGCCAGCGACAGCCTGATTGGCATCTCAGCCCCTGTGGGTCCCCTCCTGGTCTGGAGAACTTTGCACCATTTGACTAGGGAGGTTGTTAGCTGCTAGGCCTATTGAACTGTGGCTTTGGCACAGCTGGAGCGGATCGAAGATGCATCCCCCTAAAAAAGTGGCAGGAACCTGTCTCACAGATTGTTAGAAGGGGATGTCTCTACTGGAGCCTATCACTCTAATCAGACTGGCTCAGGGTGGTGGTCCTGGTCTACCCATGCCTTGCAGCACGTGTCTGAGTGCTTCCCCCTGGCTCTGAGCTCAAATGAATGCTTCTTGTCCCCACTGCGCACCTAGACCCATGGGTGCAGGCACGACCTCAGTGCCTGCTGGTTTCCCTATCTCTGCCACCACCAATGGCAAATCGCACCAGGAAGACACTAGTGCTGCTCTTTGCCGAGAGCCCAGCAAAGCATGACCAGGTGCAAGGAGCGGGTCTTTGGTGAAAATAGTTGCTGATTCCATACAGGTACTTTCTAATTGGAGCCACAGAATAAAATTCCAGCTCGAGACCAAGTGGCAAAGGAAATGGAGCCAAACATGCTCCTATAAACACTGCTGACCTCTTGTGTTGTCATCCCATGTATCAAACCCAACATCCCATCTGCCAGCAAAGTTCTGGAGATGGTTGAGGTTTTTCTTTCACCCTCCCCAAGCACTGGGGCTGTGAGGCACCTCTGCTATAGGAGAGGGGCTGGAGAAATGGAGCCTCCTAATCTATGGGACCAGGGGTTTATGTGGCCTAGCTCCCACAGGCTTTCATCTGGCTACTCATTAATGGCTACTCTGGATGACAAGGAGTAGGGTGGTGTGTGCCTGTGTACACAGGTCACAGCTCTGGTGAGCTGCAGCAATCTCTTCACACACCAGCACTGCTTGTCCTCACTCTTCCTTGTTCCACAGTGCAGGGCCCCCTCCTCATGGCTTCTCAGGTGCAACCAGAGGAGGGGGAGCCGGAGCAGCAGACCAGAGTGTCCTGCACCTTGCCTGAGGAGGACTTGTAGGCTGGAGGCCCCTGGAGCACCTCTGCCTTCTCCCATGTCAGGCAGGGCCCTACAGCCATGTCAGAAACAGCCCTGCGCTAAAGCGTGAATGGATGCACACCAGCACTGTCCCTGCCTGCAACCTGGGGAGGGTGACAAACAGCTTCTTGTCATGGAACCGTTCACTCGGAAATACAAGGACAGCAGCACCCTCTGCACCGACGGGGGGAAGCTGTTGAATGAGGACCTGCAGCATGAGGAGGGACCAGGCGCAAGGTCACTGGGGAGGACAGTGTGGCTTATCTCAGCCAAGGCTCTAAGGCTCCCAGCTCTGAGGCAGGGGCATAGCAGCGACAAGCAGCTGTTTTCCTGCCTGCAGCAACACCCACGGGGCACATGCCACTCCTGCTTGCTCAGTGGCACAGGGGCCTCCACCAGACCCTAGAGAGCTGCCTGGGAGCAGGTGCTGATGCAGGAGCTAAGCATCCCACCCAGGGTTCCAGTGCTGCAGTAGACAGCAGGGTGCCTGCAGAAGCAACCAGTGGGCCAGTCCTGCCAGTTCCTGGCTCCTAGGAGTACTGTGAAGTGGGGCACACATCCAGACGACCATGTCCTCCATGCATTCATCTGTTTTCTGGTCCCTGCTGCATTCTCAGGAGAAGCTGCACCCTCTGGTCTGTCCCCACGCACCTCATGGGGGACACATGGGTGAGGTCACCGAAACTTGCCTGTGCTCCCTGGCTGGGCTCTGGCAGCTGCCTGGGCAAGGAGAAAAGGAGTAGCTGTGAAGCTCCTTGGCTTCGGGGTGGGTTGGGAGAAGAACCTGGCCATGCAGAAACCGAGGTGCAACATCTCTTCCCTGGTCTTTGCAGCCCTCTGGGAGCATCAGAAGCAGCACCAGGCACCCACCTGGGAGAGCACAGGCCTGGTGAAGCACATGAGATGTGTAAAAAGGTGGGGGAGGACTTCCAAATGAGAAGAACAAGAACTTCTGGACATCTGGGTCCCCAGTATAGGCTGGTAGGCTTCAGGAGAGAGGAAAGTCCTCGTGCAGGAGGTGCCGTGGGTAACAGCCAGCAGAGAAGGGAGGTGGCTTTTTTGTCCAACACAGGTTCATAAAAAGAAGGTGACTCCCAAAGTCCCCTCACAATAAATACATAAATATGAATATGAATCCCAGAGGTTTGGTGCAGGGGTTCCCATGATTAGAGCTCACCCCCAAATCCCTTTCTTGCCATTTCCACATCCAAACACAGTCTCCTCCCATTCACCCCATGGCCCGGTTGCCATATGTCCCTAGCCTGTCCCACACCTTGCAGCTCCCAGGGCTAGCACTGAAGGTTATCTTTGCATCTGCTTAAAACCCATTCTAGAAACCCTAGATGAAGGAATGGCAGAGACCATCTCCTCTAGGCTAAGAAAATAAATTAACTTCTCCAATGTGCAAGGGTAGGTGGACAGGAAGCCAGTGCAGCAAAACTAAAAATAAATAACTGAAGCTTAGTATTTTCTCAGGAGCATGTTCATTTGTAGCTCTTCCTGGGCAGACAGGGTGGGTTATTAAAATAAAGGGGAAAAAGCCCCAGTCCTAGTGCTGCTCTGGTGAATGCACTCCCTGTGCGTTGGCTTGCCTTTGTCCACTGCTTCCATCCTGGCCGGAGATGCTTGTGGTGGTTGGAAAGGAACCTCCAAGACCTTCCCAGGACAAATCATCCCTGCTGGGCTTGTTGGGGTGTTTTCTTTTTCCACTGTGGAGTGGGGATTTGGGGAGCCCCTGCAGCAGGTGGATGTCTAGGACACCAGGTGACTCTGGGCCACAGCTCCTTGCATGTTGCTTAGTCTCGAGTTTTGTTTCTCCTTTTCAGGAAAAAGAAGCTGCTCTTCTGTGGGGGGCCCAGCAGCATTGGCACTTGGCTTTTATGTGTAATTTTGACCTAAAAAGAAGTAAAAAACCCAGCTCAGTAAGAGGCCTCTGGGCTCTGAGCTCCTGATGGCACCTCCCAGCCTAGGGACTCTGGGAAGAGACCTATGCAAGCCAGGAGCAGCCCAGCACCCAGCACTAGGACCAGGAGCTGCTCCCACCCACCAGCCAGGTCATTAAATGCTTTGCAGGGAGTAACAGCTCCAGAATCACATCCAGGCAGCACTGGGACAGGCAGAGGATTTTTCCTCTGGGCAAGCTTCCTGTTGGATGGGGGGGGCCCCCCCCCGGCGCCCCCCCCAGGAGGGGTCCCTGCCGCTCCCACCTGCCTGGCAAATGCCCCCACAGCTTCCATGATGGCTTCCCATGATCCAGAGCTGGCATAGGTGCAGACAGAAGTCACAGATGGCCAAGCTCTGCACCCACCAACGAGCAACCACAAGAGCCTTCCCCCAGCTCCAGAGGCTTTGCCATACTGCACAGGGAGACGAGGCTGCCTGCTGTGCTGCGAGCTCCTGTTCACCCCCTCTCACCATACTGCCAGCCCCTGCCTGTGACAGAACTTCCCCCTCCCTGGGGACTCACAGTGCAAGATGGCTGCATCCAGGGCTCCCCATCTACCTGCATGGGCAGCAGCTTGGATGTCCTGCAAGGCACAAAGAGAGGAAACACAGTGTGACAGAGGCACTACCTTTTGCTGTCAGTTGGGCGCTCATGGGCTGGGCTGGGGACAATTACCTGAGGGTGACAGATGAACACTGGGCCAGTCTCTTCCCAGCACTCTTCAGCCCTGTGTAGATCTGGCCCATCTCCATCGCACCCTCCAGCCCCACAACCTCCAGAAGGTGGTCACTGAGGTCTGCAAGAGAGAGACAAATCTGAGTCTGTCCTCTTGTCCCTGGTGAT